AAAATCCTCCACTGTCATCCCGGCCGCGTCACACGCACCGCCGTACTTCTCCCTCATTGAACGTCGATCGGAAGTGAAGACCAGCACCGTCTTTCCCAGGGCAGCAGCGTAGCCCACCTCAAACGCGGTCCCGCAGTCCGGCTCATGCGAGCGAAAGGGCGAGAGGTCCGCAATGACGGCGTCACACTGCCTTATCATCTCCATGTTCTTTGCCCGTATCTCGGCGGCCCCCGTGGCCTCGTTGTCCACGGGAATCAGTGGTGTGGCGCCGTGCACCCTCAGCAACCTGCGCACATGCTCGTAGTACGCGGCCCCCATGTCCGCGTTAAACACCGCGGGGCCTGCAATGTAGATTTTGCTCATGGCGGAGGAGCCTTCGTGGCTTCTTTGCTTTGGCCTATCCAAACTTGAAAACAAAGGGCATAGAAAGGGGGGCATCACGTAAAGACGCCGTGGCAGCAGAGCGGAGGCACAAGAGGCACCACTCGCAGAGGAGTGCACCCGTGGCGACCAGGCAGTGGCCCCCGTCGTGGCGTCAGATGCCGCGGAAACACACTGACAGTCCTTTGAAGGCTGGCTGCAATGATTGTGCTTGCGCCGCCCACAAACGCCCCTGCGCCAGCTTACATGGGGCGGGGGGTGACACTCGGCGGAGCAACGAAGCCGCGGCCCATGTCATTGGAATGCAGAGCACCCACACCCCACAGCGCCAACGGGCTGCACGCAGGCGTCGCCCATACCGCGGGGCCAAAGGCCCTGCAGCCGACGGAAAGACAGTTTACACACTTTCCAGCGTCTTGTTGTCGCGACACCGCCGCGGTGCGGTACAGCCGCACGACAGCCACAACGCGAAGAGGCCACACACACATTCACGCAGCGCAGCGCGCGCCCTCTCGTATTTGTATGGGAGGATACCACCACCCCACAGCGACAGCTTCAGCAGGTCGCCCAATACGGCCCCGCCGTTCCGCCTGAGGGCACCGTGTCCCACACCGACGGCATGCAACAGAGGTACCTCCTACACCTGCATGAGAGGCATGGCGTATATCACATGCCTACCCTTCGCCTCATCGCGTAGACAAAAAGAAGCTGCTGGAACACGCCGCACCGGTGCAGACACTACTGACTAGCAACGCACCGCAGTGCCCCCTATTAACTGCGGGCTTACGAGAGAAAACAAACAGGAAGGAGCGGGCATGACAACACGCGTGCAGAACAGGAGCGAAGGGAAAAGAGCAGCCCACGCAGCCACAAGTTGGCCTATTCCAGAGTAAATAATAAAAAACGAAAAAATGGGGGGCTTAGCGGGGCCCCGGAAAAAAAAACCCACAAAAAAGCGCACAATATGAAAATTAAAAATAAAAAAAATTATTTTGTGGCCACAAAACAGCGCACCGTATGCTTCGGCAGACCGCATCCTTAGAGTACGCGTGCAGCCTGTTCTGCTCACCACAGCAAGTTCTTCCACCTTCACACATGCCGCCCGCTGCGCTCATGGGGTCCGCGGGCCTCTCCGCCTCGCTCCCGCAGCTGCGTGACAGGCGCAGCGCCCGGGGTCACCACTCGCATTTGGGAGACAGAAGCAAAAACACAAGGGAGTTCATCTGGGAGCCGCTGGAAGGCGCCAGCGCAGGCAAGAAAACGCCCACATACAAAGAGGGAGTGATAAACAAAAAACAAAAAACGAACACATAAATGAAAACACATATTGAATGCAGAATTGTTCTCTTCGGAGGGCAATTACTTCGCAAGGGGGGTGCCATGTGAGCTCCCGCGGCAGACCCCACCTCACCTCCGCCGCCCGGCAGTAGCCGCACCACCCCACTCCCTCACACGCGCAGAGTGCTTCTTCTGCCTGCACCGGCTGACATCAAATTCCCCGGTATCTGCTCCGCCCGCAAGAGTGTAGCGGACAATATCCTCGCCTTTTCCCTCCTCAAATGTTTCATATTTCTCATCCTTCAAAGTCTCTTACAGATAGCGCTTCTCCGGAACAAATGCGCGGTCGTACAACTGAACATTTTTCACCGTTACACTTCCGTCAGCGTCACTCATGTCATCGTCTGCCCCAAAGTAGAAGTACGTGATCTCCTCGTTTTCCCTGCTCTTCGGCACCTCGTTTTGCCCTTCCTCAAGCGTCAGTGACTCGCCGTTAACGTAGAAGGAAAACCTGTCATCTTCACGTGTGAGAAGCACGTGGTATTGTTTATTGGACTCACACGCGGGGGCGTGCACCAACCTCCTCTCCCCAGTTCGGCTTCTCACCACCCACTTATTCTCGCTGCTGCACAACAATCCAAGGCGGTTGCGTGTGCTGACGGTGCTGTCAAACTTCACACCAAACACCGAGGCATTCTTTTTCAGCTCATTGACGGTTACTGTCGCCGCAAGAGAAAAGTTGTAGTTGGCGAAGTGGTACCGCTGGTTCTGCCCCTGCTCGCCCACGGGCCATCTCGCCCACGAATTGACCCCGCTGAAGTTAAAGCCGTGCTCGACCTTCGTCGCACCATGCACCGTTGCATTCACGCAGAGATACTCGTCGTCCCAGTGGGTGGCAGAGCTTGTATTGGACAAAAAGCCAACCAGCCTGGAAGCGCCACACGCACTACCCACATCCGAGGACCCGCAGAGCTTGGAGGAATCATTGTCCAGCCTTTTCCACCTTGCCAGCACCTCTTTTGTGCGATTCAGCTGATCGCCAAGCCCCACAAGAACAAAGCGCTCCCTGCCGTGGTCGCTCCGCTTGTAGAGCGAAAACAACTCGCCGTTGGTGTACAGCAGAGTGCTGGAAGCGGAATTGTATTTGCTCTCGACAGATATCGGGCCAACGTCAAAGATGTGGGCACCATCGGAAAGCCAAAGGTGGATTCGGTTGGCAAAAAATCCTCCATTATTGGGATACACCGGGTGTGTAAGCAGGAGCACCTTCTTTCCCTCAATAGTCGCGGTCACGAGACCGTCTTGGTCGCCGTACCCAGTGCGATGGGGCGAGTTTCCCCACACGCGTGAAAGCGTCCCGAGCGCCTCCGTCCACGTCTCCCCCATGTCGCTGGACTCGTACACCCGGCGCACCCCATCCCTGCAGGAGATCATCATGAGGAGCTCTCCGTCCTGCTTCTCCACGACGGTTGTGTATGAGCAGCCTGTGTTGGGCACACCTTTCGCCATGGTCCCTCGTTTGCCGTCGCTTGATAAGGAGACAATCGTGGAGATGTACTCTCGTGTCTTATCGTTCAATGCCTCCATGGGGAACACGACGGTGCCGTTCACCATCACAACGCCAGAGCCTGCACCGGTCATATAATGTCTCTCAAAATTCTTCCCAAGTTCGTTAAAGATGTGCCCAAACACCTTTCCGGAGTAACTCCAACGAATTAGCTTGTCGCCTTCGGCGCTGCCCGCTGCGCGTGTGCCAGTGTAGAGACGAACACCTGAAAATGTGTCGACCCAGTTCGAACTCCCGGAACTCTTCCTTTCCTCATCTTGCTTGAACAAAAGATATACTTTATTTTCCTTCACGGCCATTGCTGGGTTAAACACCGAAACGCTGGAGTAGGGCGTATCAAAGCCCCACGTTACCCGCTGCGTCCTCCACTTCTCCTGCGTCCTCCACTCATTTGTCAGCGTGTGCCTTTCCACAATTTTGGAGAAACCATCTTCGCACCTGGAGCAGTGAGCATGAACGGCGGCAATCAGAACCCCGTTGACCTCCGCAAGTGAGGGAGCATCAAAGTTGTGGCCAGGTTGCTGCTGCGACGAAAACACATCAACTCCATCTGGCAGTTGCTCATAATTCGAGTTGGCCTCAGCTTTGTGACCACCGGAGAATATCAACAGAACGCAGAGCAGCAGCACTGGAGAAGAAAACAGCTGCCGGGGCATGTTGTGTGGGTGGTGTGTGTGTGTGTGTGTGTGTGTGTGTGTTGCTGGTGACAGCAGGGCCCTCAAAACACAGAGTAGTTATTACGGTGTGGTCTCTTTCCTTCTGCGCGCGTGTGTGGGGAGAGGCACGAGAAGCAGCGGGAACCAGAAGCAAAACGGAGGCGTCTCTGCGCACAGACAGAAGATAAAGTCAAGAACACTGCGAGTTCCCAGACAGTGGCGCCCACAGCGACGGCGACTATCGCTCAAGTGCCAACAAAAAACAAAAAAAACAAATCGCCCAGTTTGTTGGGTCCACACACCTGCACTCCTCACATCCCGTGCGGCATTCGGCCTGCCACTAAACCGGGCAGTTTGCGTCAAATCCTCGAGGCGCACAACAATACGGCTGCCGCCGCTCTGCGGGCAGCAGCAGGCAAGACGACACCCGCCACGCATGGCAGTGCGCAGCAGGCGGCCGCTGGAGCAAAAAGAAACAAAAGAAAGCAGAACTGAGGTGCCGACCCTCCCAGCAAAGCACCGGCGGCAAGTAAAAATAAATATGTGGCATTCAAAAAGTAAAACAAAAAACAAAACAATGCGCCCTCGAAAACACGCAATGAGTGGCTCCGGGCAACTCGTATTATTTTAGAAGCTGCAATTCCACTCTCTTTGGCCCAGCAGGGAGAGCCGTCGTCCCCGGTAACCCCAGCAGCAACGGCCAAGGCACACACCTACGCACAGCACCGCCGCCACTTATGTTCATCCGCAACCGCCCTGCGACGTCAATGCAACGAAGAGAGCCGTTGCTTGGGTGTGGCGCCGCACTGCGTGTTGGGGCGCTGGCAAAGCAAAGGACTCCCGCCCCTCCCACGCATCTGCTGCGGCGCACAGGCGGGAAACACCGGCACATCGCCCCCAAACAACCGGGCACTGCACCCCGGCACCGCCTCCCTGCGGTGGCAGGCCTCATCCTGAACGCCCCCGTTCCGGTCAAAGCGAGCCGTGTGCTGCACGGTGGCGTTGGGCCCGAAGACGCAGCTCTCTTACATCTGCAGCGCGGGGTGGCGGCCGCACGGGCTGCAGTTGCGGCAGTCCGCTGCTGCCTCGTTCTTGCAGACGAACCATCACGCCTTGGGCGTCACGGGCACATTGGCGAGGGCCGCCCCCACTAGAATCTTGTGCGTGCGCGTTAGCGTTGGTACTTACAGAGTGGCCACGCGGCACGAGAGAAAGACCAACAAAGAAGAGGAGGAACGGCGAGATGTAATAAGACGGCAGAGGAGCGTCAACAGCAAAAAAAAGAAAAAATAAGACCAACGGGCCTGCATCAGTATGCGTGTATGCATGAGCACATTACGTGTGTGCCTCATGGGGTGGGGCGAGGGTGACAGTCTGTGGAGGAGGACACACAAAGAGAAAAATGACAGAGGCGGACGAGCTGCGCATGTCTCTCTCTCACCTTCACTCCTTCACGCGGCCGCCATCGCAGCAGCCGCCGCACACACAAAAAGAAGAGGGATAAACGCAAGAAGGGAGGTGGAGTGCGAGGCCGCGCTGCCGCTGTCACTGTTGCCAAAGGTCGCCTTCGTCGCATTAGTGGAGCTAATGGTGGCTGGCGGTGTTGCCGAGCCCGCAGCCGGCTTGGCGGTTTGTTCGTCCTTCCCACCACTCACTCCCGGTTGCTTGTGAGAGGTGGGCACTGCGGTGTGCCCCTGCTCAGCCTTTCTTGCCTCAGAATTTCCTTCGCTGCCATCAGCTGGCTGTCGCTCTTGTGGGCCTGGCGCTGGCGCTGGTGGCAGCAGCGGTGGTGGTGGTGGTGGCGGCGGCGCGTCCAGACTGCTCACCGCCACCGCTGTTGGGCTTATCAACGGGAACACTCACTGACGGCACTGGCACTGGCACTGGCTCCTCCACAGGGGCAGCAGGGGCCGTTCTCTTCCACACCTTCTCTTCGCCGTCCCATTCGGCTGCTGGGCTGACGCTGCTGCCGTTAAGGGATATCGTGCACACTTCCCCGTATTCAGGGCAGATGACATCCTCTTTATTGAAAGGAGGGCGGCTCCCGGTGACTGTATCTCCAGCCTTGCACGCCTGCCATAAAAAAACCCCACCCCCTGTTTTCAGGTTGACCTTTCCTCCGGTACACATCACCTCTGCGTAGACAGCAGCAACTGGTCGTTCGTATGCTTCCTTCTCATCAGCTTCGGCCTTCTCCTCCTTGGGTGGAATCTTCCTGTCCAGGCACCACATGGGATTAGGCAGTTTTTCGGTCTTCTTCTTTTGACCTTGTGGGCCTTTTTTCCCCCGCTGCTGCTGCTCCTGCTTAAAGACGTGATTAAAGTCCTCCCTCGGCACCAAAGCCGCAACCGTTAAGCACCAATCCGGCTGCCCATTCGGTGACATTTCAACAATGTTCGAATCGCACGTTCCGTTGAAATAACGATCCGACGTGCAGCGCAGGTGGGGATCGCCTTCTTGACAGAACATTTTGGGGTATTTATTCACGAGTTGAGAGCACTTCTTTTCCAGCAGCTCACACCCCGACCGCCTGCCCCAACCCATCGGCTCCGCCATCGCCCAGTTCACCTTGTAGTAGCCCAAGTCGGCGAAGGCGGCCAGCGTCAGCTCCGTGTAGTAGCCGGCACCCCCGAGCGGAGCCATAAGCTCGTCCTTCGCGTTGCGATGTGACCAGTGCGACTCCAGCGTTGTCCCGTCCCCCTTGAAGTCATACAGCTCCATGCCCTGAATGTTGTCGCAGTTGTAGTGCTCCCTCGCAGCCATCGCGGCGTTCGTCGAGTTCACCACCACCGACAACGCCCTGCCACGCACGCCGGTCACATTCTTCACCATGCGGTCCGCCACCATCTTCCCGTAGTCGAACCCCAAGGCATGGGCGATCTCATGCGCAGCGATGCGAGTGGCGAGCCGGGGAAAACGCAAATCCGCCGGGCCAAAGTTCACAACCCCAACGATTGGGCGGCCATTCTCCAGCGTGGCGCACGGCAACGCCCACACACCGCCCGGCGCAGCCGCCACGTACAGCACCATGTCGGCATTGTCAACGCCCTTGGAATGGTGCTCAGGAGGCACCGTGAACTGCCCGCAAAGCTGCCACGGGGGAAGTTTGGCACCTTCAACGGACCCTTCAGCGGCTGGACAAGAAGACGGTCCGCGTGCAGTTTGATGGCGACATGAATGGCACGGGTGAGTATTTCTTTCTTGCCATTTCGAGTTAAACTATCTTCTTGTGAACAGCTGACAGTTCCGCCACGCAAATTCGGTTTGTCAAGCCTAGACAACTGGCAGTGCTTGTTATTATCCTCCAGGTCCTTCATTGACGCCACAATGCGGATCGGCGCCCACTTCTCCGGCACGACAACGTACGTCTCCGACTAAGGCTCGTCTGGCGAAGGGACGACTTTCACCGCCGCGGCAGACAACAACCCCTCACCCCCGCGCATCACCTCGTCGAAGCTGCAGGGGTACGACACCGGGCCCGCAGCAACGCAGCCGCAGCCACAACACACCACCACCACAATTACCATCAGCAGCAGCGCAGGCTGCGACGGGGCAGGAGGAAACCGCAGCATGGCGTGCGCGTAAAACAAAATAATGCTTCTTTGCTGCTTCGACAACGAGCGGCCAACAACGTGGACACGGGAAAGAGACGGAGAAAAGGGCACACACACACACACAAAGATGCAGGCGCCTGCAAAAAACACACGTCTCCGGCAGAGGCTGCAGAATAATTGCACCCAACAAAAACAAAAAGAAATACAAACCCCGTGAAGTGAAGCCGAAGCGTGGAGCGTCCACCGAGCAGTGGGGACGCGCAGCAGCAGGTGGGATGACCAGCACACACACCCTCCCTTCCCGTACAGCCCAATCCAGGAAGAAAGAGAGAGAGAGGGAGGGAGATCGGTCACTGAAAGCAATAAAAACAATTAAAATGATAAAAACAGTTACGCTGCTTTACCCATGCAGCCAAGCAGAACGGCAGCGACGCGTTGAAAGCAAAAAAGAAAAAAAAGAAGACCAACGGGCCTGTATGAGTGTGCGTGTATGCATGAGCACATTATGCGTGTGCCCCGTGGGGTGGGGCGAGGGCGAACAGTCGTGCAGGAGGACACACACACAAAAAGAAAGAGAAACAAAAACAAAAAAAAGACGTGCTGCGCACCGTCCTCTCTCAGTCCCTTTCACGCGGCCGCACACGCAATAACACAAATTATGCCCGTTTCACCTCATTGTGGTCCGCTACATGTCCACGCAGTCAGATGAATTCCATGGGGGCTTTCTGCGCGGCCTCCCTCTCTTCGGCGTGTGTGAAACGGAGAGGTGAACAATCGTGCGGGGAGCTCGCCCCTCCACAGGGAGGGCGTAAGCTCAGCAAAAAATCAAAAAAAAAAGACGGGGTGTCGATCGCTCCAGCAAAGCACCGGCAGCAAACGGAAGTGAAAGAGAGATTAAAAGTAAAAAAGAAAAAAAACGGTGACCCATCGAAGAAATGCAAGTGGTGCCGCAGAGCAACTGAAGGCGTCTTTCGCGTGAGGGCACGCCCACTCAATCTCCCCACCGTGCTGCGGAGAGAGCCGCAATGCCCCACAGCCCCAGCAGGACGAGCAGCAACAGGCGCCGCACGCACCCACCGTACTCAGCGCTGTCACCGCCTCCTTCATCGAGCCTCACGCCAGTAATGTTCTTGAAGGTAGCGGAGACGTTGCCAGAAAGCGATGCCGCGTTGCGTGTCGGGGGAATCGCCTGAGGTTCGGGTGGAGCGGTTTTATTAGCCGGGGCGTTGTCGGCTCCCTGTGACGCTTCCTCATTGTCTCCATTAGACACCTCAACTGTGCTGGGCGGAGAAATGTCGCTTGTGTCCTTCGCGGGAGCCTGCCCGGCGTCACTGTTTGCAGCAGAGCTGCCGCCTGGGCCCACCGCCGCTTCGGGTGCAGCAGCCTCCGCTCCGGGGCCAGACATTTGCTCCCCACTGTCGTTTGCAGCTTCACTTGCTGCGGCACCAGCGCCTGGTAGCGCCTCTTCACCCGGTGCAACAGAAGGTTGCGGTTTGCCAGGTGGAGCGGCTGCATCTGTGTTATTGTCCCCCGCACCCTCTGCAGCCTCTTCGTCCTTCTCATCAGCATGTAGCTCCTCGCCATTGACGGGCCGCACCATGTCGCTCTGGTTAGCAACGCCCTCATCACCAGCTGAGCTGCTGCCTCCTGCTGGTGCTGCACCCGACGGAGGCTGTGGTAGCGGTGATGGTGGTGGTGGTGGTGGTGGTGCCTGCGGCACCGGAGCCCCGGCATCGCCCCCCCCCTCGTGTACAGTGTCCTTGACAGGCGCTTGGTTGCCGGTGCTGGCATCTTTAGGCTCCTCCGCAGCATCGCCAAGGGGCCCAGGAGGAGCCGGCTCCATGGGTGTTTCCTCGTCACCAGGCTGCGGAAAAGTAAATTTGCTGGCACTAAGTTGCTTGATCTCATCATTTCGAAGTAATTTGTTGTACAGCAGGACGCTGGACACCGTCAAATCGTGGCTGTTGACCCCAACTTCTTTCTTGTCGCTGCCAAAGTAAAAGTGCGAGATCCGGTGCGACCTGAACAGAGCGTCATTGTAGCCCCCTTCATGAATCGTCCCCCCATTGACGTGCACATACCACTCGTTGTTTTTATCCATTTCCATCACCACCTGATATGTTTTGTTTACCTCCCACGTTTCCGTAGACTCTTTGATGACTCTGCGACCCCCCCGAAATCCCCACTTCTTGCCCTTCGTGTAGAACAGCTCAAAGAGCGCAGTGCCTTCTGTGTTATTCATCCTCACACCCATCAAAGGAACAGGAGTCTCTGCCTCCGGCACCGCGTTAATCATCACCGTCACCACAAGAG